GGGGTAGACCTCGCTGCCGGCCAGGAATCCCGTCACAGTAAAACCAAACACGCGCGTGCAGCGGTGCCTCCCCTGCGTTCCACTGGGCCAGCGCTAAAGCCTCCGCCGCCGACTCGGAGCCTCCTCATCCCGCTCCCGGGTTCGGTTTGTGCCCTCCCTCCGAGCAGACGTCCGGAGAGTCCCAAGCAAGTGGGTTAACCAGGCCTGGGTGCCTTCTGGAGGTAACCAGAAACTCAGCATTCATGAGAGCCCCATGAACCCCATCCCAGCAGGATGGAGCTGGCTGCATGGAGAAAGGGGCCAGGGAAGAACCACCCTAGACCCTCATCCCGCTCCCGGGTTCGGTTTGTGCCCTCCCTCCGAGCAGACGTCCGGAGAGTCCCAAGCAAGTGGGTTAACCAGGCCTGGGTGCCTTCTGGAGGTAACCAGAAACTCAGCATTCATGAGAGCCCCATGAACCCCATCCCAGCAGGATGGAGCTGGCTGCATGGAGAAAGGGGCCAGGGAAGAACCACCCTAGACCGGAGATGGAATCACAACTTAACTGAAGTCAAGATCAAAACCCCCGTTGACTTGAAGGTGGCCAAGCACTTCTCCCCTGCTGTCTTTAGAACTGGGAGGATCCCACCTGCTCCCTGGGCTCAGTGGGGAAAGACCCGGCACACTCAAGCCACAGGGCTGGGCTAGGGCATTGCAAGGTCACTAGACTGTATGGCCAGGAGCAGATCCCAGATTTCTGTGCTGGCTCCATCGCAGGTCTTGCTGGGTTTGCAATAGACACACGCTCTTGGGGAGGGGGAAGACAGGAAAGAAGCGACGTAGCAAAGGACCCATCTCCCGTCAGGTAGGAAATGTTCCAACACGCTGGTGTCCTATTCCTATCGTAGCATCATTTGGTAGAGGACAGAAGAGCCAGTGTCTCTTCCATGCACAATGCCACTGTCTTTGGGATACAAAGTCTGCAGGTGGAGGTTTGCGAGATGGGGAGACGGAAACACCATCTCCAGTGGGCGTAGGTTTCATGGATGTGTGTGTCGACCCGGACAAAACAGGGCCCCTGCCTTAGGAGAACACTCTCACCTTTGCAGCTACCCAGTCATCATCCTCCATAAAGGGGTCTGTGTTTGCAACTAAGAGTTAAATGGGAAGGGAAGGAAGAAGAATCCACAGGGTCCCACCCCCAGCTCCTCGATCCTTTCCACCGCTGTCCTGAAGCAATGCACAAAGGCTGAAGCCGTCACTGGCATCCTGCCAACGCCCCACCTGGGTTCCAGCAAGATGCTGATTTGGCATTTAGGCTGTATTGCTGCTCTCCCGGCACGTGACAAGCAGCAGCTGGAAGCCAGAGGCCCGCATTGCTTCATCGCTCGTGCATCTGGAGGGGAGTCAGTCTCAGCCAAAGTCTGAACCCTCCCGCTCCCTAAACTGGAAGGCTCAAGATCTGCAGTGAATCAAGGAAGATCCAATGCCGTTGAGGAGAAAAAAAAACAATTAAAGAAAAAGGATCCTGTGGACGCTAGCCCTTTGCAGAGATGCCTGGGTATAGGAGGGGTCTGATGTGCTCTCAGGGGAAAGGCCAAAATCCTCACTTGCCTACAAGATTTGCCAAGGCAAAGCCACCCTTTGCATGCACAAAATGGGTAATTGTGCACACAAGTTTGCCCACTGGAGATTCAGGCTTGGTGACGGGAAGAGATGGGGTGGGGGGGGAGGAGGAACGGGACAAGACGCTCCTGTCTCTGCAACACCGAGGAATTTGGGCCGGAGTAGATGACACCCTAAATCTGGGAGTGTCCCAGTGGGAGCCCAAAACGAGATGCCCGGGGCAGGTCAGTTTTGCATGATCTATTTGAGAGGGGACAGCCACGGAGGGTGAAGAAGAACTGAAACCAAGAGGCGGCAAATAAAACCATTTCCCTCTCCCTGGTAAGAGGCATTCCCGCGCACCACGGCGGCCTGCTGCTTCTCCAGGTTCGCCAGGACATCGTTGAGGGTTTGGTTCAGCTGTAACAAGAAGAGACCCCTGAGCAGCGGGGGAGGGAGAGGGCCCTGCGCCAGGACTGTGGTAAACCTGGGTCCCCCCTCTCGCTCCAGCTCTTCCCCGGCGGCTCCCCTTGGGACGGGAACATAATGGGAAGCGCTAACGCCAGCCGTACAGTCGTTAAACTTCCACCCAGGAAGCGCCACCCACGCCGCACAGGGAGCCTGTGTGTTAGGCTGACGGACAACCGTGCTCCGGCCTTTTCGATGTCCTGCCTTTCTCTCCCCCGCCCAGTAACACCGGGGACCCCTGCCTGAACGCAGCTGAAGCCTCGGCCGCCGCTCTGTCCCTTACCTTGCTCATTTCTTTGTGGAAGTTCTCCTCTAGGCCCGCGATGCTCTGGAACGTGTTGACCTGCCGAACGAACGCAGAGCAGAAGTTAGCGGCTCAGCCGAGATCTGTTGACCCAGTTTCTTCTGCTAATACCCCCCCACGCACACTTCATATTTAAGCCGTGCTCTCTCTCTGCCACAACAGCAGGTAGGGAATGCGCGGGGGCTGTCAGAAAGGCCCCACACACCCCTGTGAGTTGCAAGGACTCTCTTGCTTTGCTGCCAGGTGGGAGACAGTAGTTAAGGAATGAACCAGGCCCTGGGGGACTACAGGGGACGGTTGGTTGTAGCAGAAAGTTGGTTGTAACTAATTGACCATTTATTTTCAGTGGGAAATAGGTCAATGGAGGGATGATAGGAGTTACAATAGAGAACTTCCTGGGTGTCTGGCTGGTGAGTCTTGCCCACATGCTCAGGGTTTAGCTGATCGCCATATTTGGGGTCAGGAAGGAATTTTCCTCCAGGGTAGATTGGCAGAGGCCCTGGAGGTTTTTCACCTTCCTCTGTAGCATGGGGTACAGATCACAGCTGGAGGATTCTCTGCATCTTGGGACCTTCAAAGTATTTGAAGGCTTCAATATCGGAGATATAGGTGAGAGGATTATTCTAGGAGTGGTGGATGAGATTCTGTAGCCTGCACTGTGCAGGGGGGCAGACTAGATGATCAGAATGGTCCCTTCTGACCTTAAAGTCTATGAGTCTATGAGAAAGGGAGAAGGCAGGCCTGCCGGGGCGCCTACTTAGCTGGGAGTCAGGACCTCCAGGAGGCCCCGTGGCTCATACGCCTTTTGCTTTCGTCCCACTGATGCTGGCTCTCCCCACCTCCTCCTCCTGTCCTCCCTCTACCCTCATCCACCTAGCCAGCCCCAGGGACGGCATGTTGCACCGGGACACCGCTGAGTGGGTTTTGCCAGCACGCCACCTTTACACCCCTTCCTCGTTCATCCTCCAACCCCACCGGGACTGCTCCTAGCTCCCCTGCGTTCCCACGACAAGCCTGCTGGTCTCCCGTCGCTCCCCACCTCCTCCTCCTGTCCTCCCTCTACCCTCATCCACCTAGCCAGCCCCAGGGACGGCATGTTGCACCGGGACACCGCTGAGTGGGTTTTGCCAGCACGCCACCTTTACACCCCTTCCTCGTTCATCCTCCAACCCCACCGGGACTGCTCCTAGCTCCCCTGCGTTCCCACGACAAGCCTGCTGGTCTCCCGTCGCCGCCTGCCTCCTTTCCCGTGCCCAGCCTGCCCGCCGGAACCGAGCATGCCGAGGCGGG